AAAGGCCGGCTCGCGGCGGGAACGGGCCCGCGGGGAAGGGGCCGGGGGCCTTCGGGGACCGCGCGTGTGGAAACCCAGACATGCTTGCGTCGTAAAAAATTCAGGACGGAGGTTTTTCACCGTTTTCGGGCTCTGGGGGCCTTCGCCGGGCCTCGGGACCGTCAAACAACGACTCAGGATGAAAAACCGGCCCCGGGGGAAGGGTCGGGACTTCCGGGGGCGCCGTCCTGAAAAAATCAGGACGTCGCATGTCTGGGAAGGTCATGCCGCCCGCGGCGCCCTCCCCCCCCCCCCCTCCAGCCTCGCCTGCCCCCCCGTGCTTCAATTCATCGAGCAGAAAAGCCCCCCTCCGACCCCAGTAACACGGTGAGGACGTGGCCTCGCTCAGGCCCCCGTCTTCGCATCGGGGATCCTACATCTGGGCGGTTGGGCTCGATGCGCATGCAGAGGAAAGACCCTCTTATCCCTGATGTTGTTGGCCCTCCTAACCTAGGTCCCCTCCCAAAGCGTTAGAGGTCCTTTTGCTGCTGATCATCAGTTCGCCACGGGTGCGTCCCGCTGTTTGCTTCTGCCGCCGCCTGGATCCGAGTGGCCGCCGACCAGTGAGCTGGAGATATCCCAACGTCGGAGATCTGGAGGCGCCGTGAGAATCGAGGCGACGGGTCTTTCCACGATCTCGGGCCCCGAGGCTGGTCTTGCGCCAAGACGCGGTTCAGGATGAGAAGCCAGCCTTGGGAAGGGCGGTGAGACTTCGGGCTCCCTCGCCGCGAGCAAAAAGCATGACTTCGAAGGCCTGGGTCGTCGTCGTCCTCATCCTTCTCGGTCGACGTTGATTGTGTTTTCGACTGTTCCTGGGCATCTGGCTGGAGACCCCTGGAGACTTCTGGTCCGGTCCAGAGATTCCGGGCCGCGGAACGAAACACATCGAGACTGGCTTTCTTTTCCTCTCCTTGGGCCTCCGGGGGCCGTTTCCTGGCCCAGGTGCTGTAACACAACTGGCACGGGGCGAAAGCTGGGGTCGGCGACCCCGAGCAGTTATCTTGTCGGACGGGGCTAGGACGAGGATACATCCGTCCCAGAGCGTTCCGTACGGCTCTCAGAGCGTTCCAGAACGCTCTGAGAAGGCCGCGGCGATCGATAGATCCTCCAGAGCCGCCAGATTTTTGGAGACTCTCGATTTATCCTCGCCCGGATTTATCCTCGTCTTGGCTTCGTCTTATCTTGCTTTGGGCGATCCCCACCCGAGCGCGCGAGGCAGGATCCCCAGGTAGCAGCGGGCTGGGGGCCTCGCGGCCGCGGTGTGCCGCCGTGATTCGTCGAAAGCGCGAGGTGGCACACCCAAGGATCACCGGCACCCTGTGGGGGCTGGCAGCCCCAGTGGCGGCGCCGGGGGCTCCATCTCCATCTGGCACTCTGTCACCCCCAAACGAGCGAGGCAGGCCGGCTATCTAGAGTCCGCGGCCCGCTTCGCCGAACGCCAGCACCGGGTCGGAGAAGGCGGCCTGCTCTCGCACGCCAGGCGGGCAGCTCCTCTGTGCAGGGGGTGGCAGACAGGCGCCTGCACGGACACGAGACCAGGGAAAGGGCCCTTCTGTGCCAGCGGGCACGGGAGGCACCAGTGCGCCAAGTGCCTCAAGAGGCGATCGCGGAGCACGTGTGCGCCGCTGGGCAGAGTCGAGGGCCTTGCCGGCAGACCGCAGCGGCAACGGTAGCGAAGGATAGTCAAGCGGCAGCGAGCGGGAAGCTCGGCTCGGCGGCAATGGAGACGGACGCCGTACAGCGACGGCGCATCCTCGAGCGCCGCCGCCGACGACCAGCTCCGGCCCACAGAAGGGCACGCAGCCTGTGCAGGAGAGCCCGCGCGCGCTCGCTGCTGACCTAGCGCGCGGCGCGCGCCGGCGGTCGCGCGTGGCGCCCGGCTCGCACCCGGTCATGGGCAGCACGCCCGGCTCAAGCGCCAGACTCTGAGTCGCGGGGCGGTCGGCTTCGCGGCGGTTGTTGAATGTGAATTACTAAACAGTTGTTATTGTTGGACACCTTAAAGGCGCTCTGGCGCTCTCGCCGAGGCGCCGGCTACATTTTCATTGAAAACGCGGCTCACGCTCGAGCGGTTTGGGGGACCGCCCAAACCGGCCCCCCAACAGCAACGACGCTCCCGCTCGAGACTTCCTCCTTTTTTACTCATGGCCGGTGCTCTTGCTCGCCGCGGAAAGCCACCGTCCCAACACAACCAGCGCTCCCGCTCGAGACTTCCTCCCGTTTTACCTTGGGCTGGCGCGCTAGTCTTTCTCTTATCGGCGCCGCCCCCAGCAAAAACAACGGCTCCCGCTCGAGGCTCCCTCCCTTTTTTACTCAAGGCGGTGCTCCTCCTCGCCGCCGAGAGCCGCCGCCCCGACAAAACCAGCGCTCCCGCCCGAGACTTCCTTCCGTTTTACGCTGGACTGGCGCCCTACTCTCTTTTAAGTTGGCGCCGCTCCCAGCAAGAACAACGCTCCCGCTCGAGGCTTCCTTTTTTCCTGGAGACGGTGCTGATCCTCGCCGCCGACAGCCCCCGTCTTGACAAAACCACGGCTCCAGCTCGATGCTTCCTCCCTTCTTACTCAAGGCGGTGTTCCTCCTCGCCGCCGAAAGCCGCCGCCCCGGCAAAACCA